AGTGGCTGTCCAGAGACATGGCAGTGCTGGGCTTCTGCCCCCAGACCCAGTGGGCCACTAAAGAGCCTTGCTCTTGTTGCTGAACTGAGTCTCTCTCAGCGAGGAGAAGTATTGATTTAGTTTTGAGCCTGGGTGATTTATAAATATGCATGAGGATTGGAGGTTATTTAACTGTGTTTTCTAATTCTCCTCGCGTTGCTGCCTCTTTCCAGCATGGTCTCTTAGTATTCGAGTCAGGCGTAGGGTGGCAGGTGGCCCGCCCTCCCTGCTTGCTGCCTGGGACCCTCCTGGGGCAGTGGACTGAGGGGTGAGATGTGGTGGGAGAAGACCTCAGAACTGGCTTCTCTGTGAGGCAGCTGAGGGTGAAAGGTCTCAATTGCAGCACACATGTCCTCACACCAGGCAGCACTCACAGGCTGTCCTCTCATACAAAAGAAGGGAGGAAATTCAAGTTAATGCCATTTCTCACTGTTCACATAGGGAAACTGGGGCCCAGAGGCCAGAGGCCTGCTCAAGGCCAGTGGCAAGTTAGGATAGAACTTACTTTACAGGCAGAAATAAAGCTGGCACTTTCTCCACCAAGCCCTGCCCTGCAGAACTTGGGATGCAGAGGGCAGTGCCTGGTCTGAGTTCACACAGACTCGAACCCATGGAGCAGATGGGTGGCAGGGGAGCCCCAGGCTGTTCTGGGCTCCCACCCTCAGGGAGTGTACACTGCAGCCTGGTGCAGACTCCTCTCAGAGCCTTCCACTGGCCTGGCCCAGAGACGGCTGAATGGAAGGTGGGCATGCCCATGGCAAGTGTGTGGCCCCTGCCCAATCCTTGGTCCTTGCTTTGCTGCTGCCATTAACAAAGAGTGTCAGCCGCTTAGTCGGCAAGTGAGATGTTTTTGTTTAGTCAATAATTGCACCATGGCGTCAAAGGAAGGTCCCCAACTTTTCCTTTTGAGATGCTTGTCAGCATCTCACCAGTTTTCTCAGCTGTGAATCAAACAAGGCGACAAATTTTAGCAGAAGATTACAGCCATTTTTCCCCTTTCTTCCTAAAAGCTGTCATCTAGCAGCAGATTTCAGCAAAGTTGTTCACTCTTCCCATCTGCTCGTCCTGTGCAGTGCCAGCCCCCTGGACAGCACCCTTTCGAGTTGGTGTGACATCCTCTGTGCCCATGGAGGGTGGGCACATGGAGAGATAGTGCTGGTGCTGGCAGACTGGCATCTTCTCTTCCCTGTGACCAGATGCCGGCCGGCTAGAGCCCCAGTTGGGACTTTATAAGGGGAAGGCACAGTGCCTGTTGGATGAGTGGATGGACATGTTTGGAAGGGCAGTGACCTAGCACCCTCTACCCCACCGCCTTCCTCAGAGCAGGGGTCACAGTGTGTCCAGTGGAGGTGGCACTTACATACCTCTGGAAAAACCTTGAAACTAGGCTGGCCTTGGCCATTGGTGATGTCCTCAGTTTGCCTCATGCCCTCGTGGTCCCTTATCCCTGCTGCCTGGCTGTGCCTCCCAGGCCAAGCTCTGAAATCTTTGCCCTGTGCCCTTGGGGTGCCTGCTCCATGCTGAGTAGGGTATTGGGGGTAGGCAGGAATTGCCAGCCCCACTACAGCTCCTTGGGAGGTTGGACAGTGGACATTACCTTAGCTCTTCTTCTAGTGTCTTCAGGTGGCTAGTGGGGACAGGGCTCCGGATTGGGGCCACCAGCTGTACCTGTACACGGGACCAGCAGTTTAGCTGCATAGCACCATGCCCTCATGAGTGGCACTGTGCTTGGGTGAAGCAGGACCCAGGCAAGTGTGTAGGGGACCATAGCCGCCATCAAACGAGAAAGGCTAGGTCCTTCCTGGGACCTGCTGGACCTGCTGGCTCTCACCTCATGTTATCATGACTGATGAATGATCTGACGTCTGAGTCTGCTAGGACACGTCCTGGCTCAGGAAATGTAATTATCACTCACTCATTCAACAAATGCCGATTGAGCACCATACCAGGTACTGTTCTCAGCCCAGCCACTGCTGTAGTACACAAAACACAGCCCCTGTTCCCGCAGAGCTGACCTTCTCAGGAGCCAGCTGATAAAATGTCCATACTGAAGTGTCAGAAGGCACAGGGTAAGAAGCAAGGAGTGATGCACTGTCACCGTCATTCTCAGTCTTTGCCACAGACCTGTGTTGGCACTGGTTTCTACCAGGCACCAAGCATCCTATCACTTCTTGCCCGCAGAGTAGAAAAAGGGCCTTTCCCTTCGGAGCTCCCAGATGCAGGAGGGTTTTGGGCTGGCTGTCCCTTTCTTTCCCACACTCCCAAGGTGGCCACCACCCTGAGGCAGAGGGAGCAGATGGTAAGAAATGTACCCCACATCCAGCCTCACCACTTGGCTTGTCTTGGCTGGCCTATCACTTCTGACCTCAATGCCTGACTGCTGATTTCCTGTGTGTGAAGTGGAGCAATAGTCTTGTTGAGCCTCTCTACCAGGGTGCCTGCCCCCACTCAGCACCAGGAGAGGCAGTATCTCTCCTATGATTGCCTGTTCACCCCTCACCTCCAAGGTGCACCAGACCCTGGAACCTCCCACTGACCTCCAGAGCCTCATACTCCCCCATGGCCTTATGCTCCATTCAGCAGCCCGTGTCACACAGACCCAGGCTTTCATTCCAGACCCTGTCACCTTCTCTGACATCCATATGCCAGCTCTGTAGCCAAGCTCATGTCCGTCCCTATCAGTGCCTTGGCTTCCCCACCCCACACTGTCTCTAGAGGACTCTGCCACCTCTGAGAGTCAGTTAAAATCTGTTTAATGTATAGAAGCAGTTAATACATTGCAGAGATAAAAAGGAGAGAATACATGAACATTACAGGAAATTTTGATTTGTGCCCATGAATGTGGCTTTGTTGGTGGTGGACAGGGCACCTCTCAAAGCCCTGCCATCTGACTCCTCAGGAATATTGGGCCGGCTCTTCCTGCCTTACCTGGCTTCTCTAGCCCTATGAGGGGAAGGAAGCTGGCGTATGTCTGCCTGCAAGGACCCAGTGATAGGGCTCTCTTAGGGCTGCATGGGTGGACAGATTTCGCACACTTGGTTATCTTCCCCACACTGTTAAAATTGGGCGGAATAACAATCCCTTTCAGCTCTGACAGTCTATGATTCAGCTGAATTCCGGGAGTGTCTTCACCCTTTGGGGGTTTTACAAGGCTCTCCCAAAGCCTGTCAGGAGCACAGAAATCCTGTCCCACTTGACCTGCTGAGTCTATCCCTTCCCTCCTGCTGGCCTTTCCCTTCCCAGCCTGAGAGGCAACACAGAGGGTGGTGTCCAGGGACTGCATGTGCAAACCCAGTTGTGGGGGGTGGTGCCCCATCCCAACACTTTGGTGCCCCTGGGTCTCTGGCCCATGTCAGTATCCTGTCCCCACTGACCTGTTAGGTGAAGGGACATCAGGACCAGCAGTTTGCTGTGAAGAGACATTAGCATGTTTTTGTTCCAGAGAGTGGCACATGGGCAAAAACTTACTTTGCATCCCTGGTCCCTACTTTTCTTTGGAGGCACATCCTGGGGGGTCTGGGTGGCTGGTCAGGAGCCCGCAGGCTCTGGCTCCAGTACCTGCCAGTTCTTTGGGTCCCCTCTGTGAAGTGCCTGTTCATGTTTTATGCCCATTTTTAAGTGGAATTTTCTTAAGTGTTCTTGCTTATTTTTGTGTGCTTTGTAAGTTCTGATAAGTCTTCTGCCATGGATGCATCAGACCTCTCTCTGCTCTGCCAGTGTCCCTCTGCTCCAGTGGAAGACCAGCTCTCGGAGGTCATGAGACTGGAGCCCTTCCTCCTTTCCTAGATGATAGTACTTGAATGATCCTTAAGTCTCTGTCCAATCCATAGTCATGAAGATGTCTTTCTATGTTTTTTTTAAACTTTACCTTTGCAATCCCTTAGCATTTAGATGTGGTATAAGCTCAAGGGCACAAGGGTATCTGGCTGTCCCTTGCTCTGGTACTGCCCATCTCCTTGACTGTAGATCTCTAACATGTTATGATACTTGGGGGATCAGTCTTGGTTCCTCCCCTTTGAGGTCCCTTGCTGGGTCTAGACTATGACAGATAGGCTGCACTCCCCCAGCAAAATATAGTGGTGGGGACTGGTGTGAGATCTATGGGGACTCTCTTCACTGCCTTCCCAGTTTCTCTGTAATTCTAAAAGCATTCTAAAAAACAAAGGTTTGTTTTTTAATTATAGTCTCTCTACATGCACACCTGTTGGAGAGAAGATAAATGCAATACCTCCCGTGGCTGCACGGTGTGGTAGTAAGAACCTAGTCATTTGAATATCTGCATCATGATGTGTTCTTAAAATTGATACTTGAAGCTAAGTGCATTGGCGCACGCCTGTAACCCCTGCACACTGGGAAGCTAAGGCAGGAGGATTGCAAATTTGAGCCCAGTCTGGGCAACTTGCCAGCTAAAGAAGACCATTCAAAATTAAAAAGGAGGGTTGGGGATTTAGCTCAGTGGTTTGGTGGCCTGCCTTGCAAGCGCAAGGACTTGAGTTCAATCCCTGGTACCAAAAAAAAAAAAAAAAAAAAAAAAAAAAAAGCAAAACATAAAGGGCTGGGGTTACAGCCCAGTGTGAGAGTCCTGGATTCAATCCCCAGGAGACTAAGCAGGGAATTCCTGTGTACTGATAACTGTGATATCCCAAGGAGTGTGTGGCACTTGCTGTCTTCTCAGTAGCTCGGTGACTCTTCAAAGTCAGGGACAGGCAGTCTGGCCCCATATTGGGCAGTAGGCAAACAGAACCTGCTCATAGGAAGGGCCTCACCTGGCTCACTTTGCAGCTCACAGGCATGGAGACTGCCAGCTGCACAGCTCCCTTGCATCTGCCTCATGATGCTCAGCTAGAGCTGTAGCCGTACTGTGCAGCTCTCCAGTCTCAGGCTGGGTTTATGAGCATCCTGTTTCTTCTGTCTTTGTTCTCAAAGCACCCAAGGTGACCCTGTGCCATGCTGTCCCACAGGGTGACTATGATCAGAGCAGAACCAAAGTGTTGCACATGAGCCTCAACCCCACCAGCCTGGCCAAGCAGCGCCTTCGTGAGGAGCGGGACCGGTTGCAGGAGGAGTGCGAGCGGCTGCGAGGACTCGTGCGTGCCCTGGAGAGAGGAGGCCCTGTCCCTACTGAGCTGGAGGCCACCACTGGCCTGCCCTCAACCAAGGAGGTGTCAGGTAGGACCCTTTCCCCGCCCTTTTTCTGCAAGCAGGTCCCCCAGGCACCTGCCAGAGTAGTGGGGCCACGTGGATGGAGGGACAGGTTGCACCAGCTTCCATGTCCCACCGAGCTGCTCCACATCACCATGGGCCATGCAAACAGAGACAGTCATTCATGTCCGTGGGTAACAGGAAAGAGCTCAGGCACTGTGAAGAAGCACACAACCAAGATCTTCTCAGACCCCTCAAACAAATTAATGCCATTTATCAGTTGCCATGTGACCCATTCATCATGAGCAAATCCAATCCTCCATGTTAACAGGGCCATCTTTCACTGTGCTAAGTACCCTTCACAGAGCCCAGGGCCCTGCCACAGGCCTGCAAGGCTGGCCACAGAGTCAGAGCCTGCGCCACCTGCTACAGTCTGTAAATCAAGGTGCTAACCTCAGGACCTGTGCTTGTCACCTCTGACACACTGAAGTGACAGCTGGAGTCTGTTCACATTGTACCTGGAGAGCATCGCAGTCACTAGGCCTCACCCTGGGTGTGCCTGCCCTGCAGAAGCAGAGACGCAGTTCTGTCTGCACAAATGATGAGGGAGCAGTCGCCACACAGCATAGCCAAGGAGCCATGAGGGGCCTGAGGCCCAGCGATGTTGGGGTGCTTTGGCCATGCTCCACACTAAGTTTCATGGTGGCCTGGCAACTGCCTGGCACCCGGCCCTGCCATCCTGCAGCTCTAATGTTAGTGACCCCCCCACCTTGTCACCTTGCCCTGGGGGATGTTTTCAGGGCCATCTGTTTCGTTCTGTTTTGGCAGTACTGGGAATTGAACCCAGGGCCTTTACACTAACCTATACACACCCCCTCAGCCCTTTTCCAATAGAATCTCAGTAAGTCACTAAGTTGCCTAGGCTAGGCTGGAACTTGCAGTGCTCCTGCCTCAGCCTCGCAGAGTGCTAGAGTTAGAGTTCGTCCACCACCACCATGCCCAGCTGGCAGCTATTTTCTTGATATGCACCTCGTGTTTTTTTCTGAGTTGCCTTTCATCCTGTGAAGCCCTTTCATATTTCCTTCTTATGTATTTGTCAGTTCATTCCATGAAGTGCTCAGCATCCCCGAGAGTGTCCTCAAGCTGGGAAAATAGCTGTCATCTTGGGTCCTTCTGCAGCACAGGGCTCAGCATGGTGTCAGGCAGATGGCTCAGTCTACAAGTTGGCCCTTTGTTGTCCCCTCCCATTTGCTCCCCCCTTGTATAGAGTGCTGAGATGGTGCCTCGGGACCCGGGACAGACATAGGGCTGGTGTGCAGATGCTGAGTCATGGGTCCTGGAAGAAGCCAACCCAGGGACTGGAGCGGCCTTCTACACCCTCCCTCGCATCCACAGTTACATAGGCAGTCATAGCCCTGCTGGCAGTGAAGCCTAGAAGCCTTCTCAGAGAGCCTGACATGTAGCGGGGGCTCAGAAACTATACATTGTCTGTATTTTCATTGCCCTTGATCTTGCTTCTGGGTCCCCATGGCTGTCTTCAGCATGTGATGTCTCTGGGACATGACCAAGCACTGTCTACTTTGCCAGTGTCCTCCCTGACACTGGAGCTCATGCACTTGCCATGGCTGACAGCGGGCAAGAACCTGCACCTACAGCATCTTGAAGGACCTCATGTGCGGCCTGTGGGCAGTGAGCACAAGTGCGTGACTGTGCCCACCCCTGCATACCTGGCCCAGCCTCTGCAAGTCAGGTTTTCAGACAGACGCTAACATTGTCCTTATCAAGTCCACCCCATTCTCCATGGCCCAGAGCATCCAGGTTTGTTAAGAAATCTGCCAGAGCCAGGCCTGGGACAAGAGTCCCTACTCCATTTTCCCTGGTGCAGCAAAGGAAATGAGTGACATGATATGAAAACCAGCTGGGCTTGGGGCTGGGATTCAGCTGCTGCTCTGAGCACCTCGCTGTTTTTGCGGCGGGGGTCTTTATGCCTCTACCTCACCACCACTACCACACCCCACACCCCCACGTTCCAACTTTCATTTCTCATTGGTACCCTCTGCTCCAGGTCCAGGACAGTGGCCCGGCAGAGGGAAACTGCTAGAGCTGACACATCTGCCTGGCCGGGTGACCAAGCATGCTATGAAAGGGATCTCCTGCTGCCTGAGAGGCTTTGTGGCCTGCACCAAGCATTCCACTTCCATGCAGCCCAGATGAGAAACAGAAGCCAAGAGCAGGGGAAGGCCCGCTCTTGGGACTGCCCAGCAGAAAGTGGCAGTTCTAGGTATCTTTTTGGCTTCTACCACCTCAAGGGCTTCTTTGTGATCTAGGCTGTGGCTCCACAAACCAGTCTGTGTGTTTCCTCCAGGGTAACTTCTCTGAGCTTGTGCTATCTGTATGCCACTGGAGAATTTGTGTTGGGTTTTTGTGAAAGGGTTCCTGGGAGAAATCCTCACCATCATGGATGTCACAGATCAGTCCTGAGCCTCTGCCCAGAGACTGGTTTGTTCACTCCTCTAGTAAGAACTGCAGCACTCCTCCTGTGCCAGCCAGGCCCATGCTGGCCTTGGGTGCCCAGAGATAGGAGTCTTGCTGTGACACATGTTTTAAGGCTGCAGCACATGGGCTCAGAAGATGGGTCTCTACCTCAGACCTGGGGGATACTGAGAATCCCCCAAGCTGCCCTTAAAGAACAAGTCAGAGCCAAGGTTGCCTGGAGTTTGGGAGATAAGGGTGAGCAGAAGTCCAGGCCAGACAGGGGCAGCTAGAGGATAAGGAGGCACTGGGGCATTTCTGCTCAGGTGGCCAGCTGTACCTCCCAATCCCAAGCCCCTGGGATTATTTCATTTCCCTCAAGACTCATGCCCACAGAGAGAGAAAGAATGTGGCCACAAGCTTTCACATTGGAAAGTGCGTGGCTAAGGGCTGGTGACCAGGCAGATTCAGGAGAGCCAATTCTCAGCCAGTGGATGGGGCAGGAGCCAGGCTGCACAGGCCACAAAACTCCCAGGGAGCCCAAAACAGTACAGGGACACTGGGGAGGAGAGGCTGGCTAAGCTGAGGAGGCTTGACAGAGGGATAGATAGTAGGAAACAGGGAAGTAGATATTTTCCAAATGGAAAGGGAACTAAGAGATGGAAGGAGGGGAGATAGAGGGAAAGGGATGAAAAAATAATTGTGTTATGTATATGTGCAAACTCCCATCACGAATGTAATCATAATATACTGCAAAGATGTGCCAATAAAATAAATTCTTAAAGAAAGAAATGTAGATTATTGAGCCCCAACTGGAGCCAGAAGCCCTGGGTGGGCCCCATGATCTGATCATGAGCCCTATGGGCTCATCTGTACCACAGCTCTGGAGAGGACAGGCAGAGGGCACTGGATAGGCCCCAGCAGGGTGGGAGGCCTGAACAGAGTACAGGGGTGAGGCAAGCAACTGTGACCATCCCAAGGGGGCCTTTTCGCCAACAGTGGCTAGAGAAGCCAGTGGGCTCAGGAAGGCTGTGACCAGCTCAGCTGGGACGCACATGGTACAGCCACCAATGGCAGGCCTTGCTGCCTGCTCATGGGTCCCCTAGTGCCTGATGATGCTAAGATAGGGATTCCCAATGTCCAGTGGAGAAAAGACACCCAACATGAAATATACAGAGCAGAATAAGTAGGAAAGTGAGTCCCCCGGGGAAGAGAGGACTAGAGCAGAGGAAGCCTCCAGAAAACTACCCTAGTTATGCCGAGAGGGGTAAGAACAGACTTTCAATAGTGCTATAGAGCAAGGTACTCAAAGGAAATCCAAGGAGGAGGAAATGGACTTTGGAGAGCTAAAAATACCTAGAACTAAATGAAAATCTTAATAGATTTATGAGATAAAGTTGAGAAAGTTTATCTAAAAGAAGAAGAAACAGATAGTGAGGTGGAAAAAAGGATAGAAAGATAAGAAACATGAGAAGTCTGGTCCCAAAGGTCCAGAGGAAAGGGCAGGAGACACAGGAGGGAGTACACGGAGCCTTAAGGAATGTTCCCTGAGTGAGGGAGCTGGCACTGTGCCACAGAAGATGCTCAGAAGGTCCTTTGCACAGATGAGAGCAAACCCTCCCAAAAGGATATCATCACTGCCCTCCAGGGCATAGGGGTTAGAGAGAAGACCCTCTAAACTTCTAGAGAGGAAAAGGAGACATCCTCTGCCAAGGATTCGGGATCAGATCTGCATGATACTTTTCAGCAGTGACACTGGGAGGACACAGGTTGGAAAGTGACCTGTACACCCCAACTACCTGCCCAGGCAAGTCTGAAGCAGAGATCACATGCATTTCTAGATGAACAAGGTCTTAAAATAGTCCATCCCGTGTATCCTTTCTCAGGAAGCTAGTCAAGGATGTGCTAGTAAAACGAGGGAATAAACAAAAGAAGAGACAGAACCCAAAGACAAGGAAAGCACAGGCTATGAACTTTGAGGGCGGATGGCACATGGAATCCGTCGATGTTCTGGGATGTCCCTCAAAGAAGAGAGGTGGGCCAGAGCCTTCCATGCCATGTGCTGGTGTGGGCTGCCAAGAGTGTGAGTCCTCTGGTCCCTGGGCTGCTTGCTTCCTCTGTTTGTTGGCACGTGGTCAACGCACACTTACACCCTGTGTGCCACTTGCACTTCTTGTTTGTGTTTATTGCCCCACCGAGAGTCAGGAAGTGCCAGTGTAGACAGTGTATTCAAAATGGTACCCAAGTTGGTGAAGAGTGTGTATAAAATGAAACAGGAAGAAAAGCCCAGGCAGTCATTAGCTCTAGGGAAAGAGAAAGCTGTTCAAGAAGCAGAAGTAATCATGGTTTTCCACATGGCTCTGCTCTGATCATCATTTGTACTGTCACTGGAGAGCTGAGGCCAGATTTAAACAACTATGAGCTGGTGTGTTGGAAGGATGGAGCTGGAAGGTTCTCACATGGAGAGTGGGGAGAAAGAGCTAAATCTTTGTCTTTCCGGAGTGAAAGTAGTGGATAACACCCAGGTCATCAAATCCAAAGATGTGATTGAAATG